TTCCACATCATTGCATTCTGTTTTTATTCACAATTTGTACAGTGTCCCAACTTTTTTGGAATCGATCGGTCTGTGCAGGGCCACTTCAAATCCAACGCGTCTATTGCCTATGGTTCGAAATCTCCCTTAGGTGGTGATAGCTGTTTTTAATGCCTGATCAAAAGTTACCGCGAACCTGAAACTACTACTACTAACAACAACAACAGAACACATTACATAATTGTTGTTATTAAATGAAATATCTTTGGTGTATAAGACAGCAGGCTAACCGGGTAGCTGTATTTTGTGCGAACAATATAATTCATCATGTGATTTTGTAGAAATTGTAATCAGGTGCTAAAAAAAAGAGTACCCATTGAAATGTCTTTACATCAAGGACCCGATCATGGAATAATGCACAGTACAAGCACAGCATTGAGCATCTTGAGTCTGTTCAGTAAAGAGTGTTTTGATTGGTGCATTAAAAGCTCACCGCGATTGGCTGAACGGAACTTCCTCCAAAAAAAGATATTTATGAATCTTAACCTGCCAGGAATGTCTCAAAAATACAGCACACAAATTCAAAGCAGTCCACGCACATGTGACGATTTGCAAATGCAGATTCAACGATCCTTAAATACATGTAACATCATTCATAAATGGGTGATGGAAATTAATTCAAGAACTTGAACTTTAATTTATTTAGGTAAGATGCATTTGTGTAAAATATTTGGGGAAATATTTATGCTTTTACTTGTGTATTTATGAATTGTGTTTTGAATTTACGAATCAGATTTTGTAAATGTAAATTGTGCTGAGCATTTATGAATTTTGTTTTGTAAATGTATTATTTTTAGGCTCATCTGGCTCCATACAAAACACCCTGTTGGTCTCAAGACAGTGACTGCTATTACTTGTCAAACCCACTTGTACGGTTGAGATAAAAATGGTGTAAATGTCGTTTACATGCTCTCCATATGCTGGAGACATATGCAAATGTGTTAAGTCAGTGATTGCCACTTGTCCCCGCTGCCTCTCTCGCTCTCTCTCTCTGTGCACAATTATCTCAAGTCCTTGTTCAGTATTCTGTCTCCTTTTGTTTTCCATACAAGTAATTCAATTAGACAGCGGAGAAGTATCCTTGATTTCGCCTCCCTATTTATCAATGGTTTCTTCGCTCTCCCGTGGCGTCTTTTATATCAGGATGAGAGCTTTCACACAAGTGGAGAGACAAGCAGCAATCAGTGCATTTTATGCAAAGCTGAAAACACAGTTCGGCTTGTCAGGTTTGCAAGAGGGTGGTCCTCAGCACGTTGAACGGTGCTCTGCTAATAAGCTCGTCATTTTAGAATGCAGCTTGGCTTCTCTGCAAAATGAGTAAGCGGTCGACTGGAGCGCCGCCACTATTATGAGTGATTCTCTTGAGTTTAGAAAAATACCAGAGGTAATGCAAAACTAATAGGTCGGTAAACATTTTGAGAATGCCACTATATAGATTGTGGCTGCAATGCAATAACTTGTTATGAAATGGGCTGTTGTTTCGATGGCATGACAGGATACTGGCATCCCCTTGACAGAAAAGGAGAAAAACAGAAATATAAAAAGGCAAAGCGGGGCTCCTTACTGGGATTAGAGAAAGGAGAGGCATGACCGGCATACTGATGGAGACGAGGTAGAAAAACATTGAGTGCTCGTATGTAGTCCGTGTCTGCCAAATGGCCTTTACAGTGAAGGGCGCCCGGCAATAAAGGACATGGATATGTGACTGTCCAGGGGACGAGACAATGCACTGAAATAATTGGAGGATGGTGTATGACATTTTGAGTAGCTTTACTCAGCACTAAACAGATGAAAGACACCGAGGAACCCCAAGGTTAGAACGGTCGGCTACAGATGAAAAAAAGGGAGCTTTGAAAGCGGGTCTCCACCATGCATTGTGTGGGTGGGGATAGTCCGCTAATGACTAGAAGATAAAACAGGAGGTCTGGTAGATTCATGAAGCCTAATGTTTCAAAGCGCAGAAATTGAATATTTTTATCGTCGGAGAGGGTGAAAGAAAAGCGCTGTGAAGCAGAAAGACAGAGAGGAAGGCTGACAGCTCACTGGTGGAAGATGACAGGAGCGGGAGAGGGAGAAGGAGGATATTTGAGGGAAAGTGTAACACAGGGATGCTGTCAAGCCTCAAGCAAGCTCCATTTAACAAGACTGAGGGACGGAGAAGAATTCAGGGAGCCGCGCAGGAGCATCCACAGGCTCCTCTGCCTTCTGTATGTGTACGTGAAAATCTCACACATTGGTCTGATTATGTAAACGTGACGGGTGATGAAACAGTTGGTGAATGGTCACAAAATAGAGCTATTGTCAGTCCATCATCTAGATGAAAACAAAGAAAGACAGACAGACAGGCTTTATTTTGGCAAATGTGTTCATGTAGGCGTTTTCAAGGGCCAGTGTGAATAAATCTAGATTTAAATTAAAAGAGACAAGATAGTCCCATCATTTTGGATACGTATTATTCGTATCCTGCAGTGTGTGTTTCATTCATACTCGAAGCTGGAGAGCGCTCTCGTGCTGAAAGTCCAAAACAGACTCAGAGAAGTAGTAATAACTTTTGTCGTGCCAGGAAATCCTTAATATGGACAAAGGCATCCAGTTATCACTGTAGCTAAGCTGAATAACAAGCATAAACCATAATTGATGAAACATGAAGACAATCAACGATTGCGACAATATATGGTTCATGTGTGTTTTTCAAGTCTTCTCCAGGTAATAAAGTATATGAATGATACAGTGCTTACTGACATGGCATTTATTACATTACAGAAGCTATAAAATATATTTTCTGCTTTATTCTGTGATAAAAATGGAAAAAGTTTTTGTAGTATATAAACCAAACATATTCATAAAATTGTCATTAGGAAATATAAATATCAAATATATTATAGATTACAAATTATTGGTTATTGTCCAGCGGGTTTTATTTCTTAACCAATTAAAAGACATAAGAATTTTTTTTTGTCAATTAGACAAATATACATAGACAATTATTATTATTATTATTATTATTACATTTGGCATTTCTGTCCCCCTCACTATCTATCTATCTATCTATCTATCTATTATATGAATGATACAGTGCTTACTGACATTGCATTTATTACATTACAGAAGCTATAAAATATATTTTCTGCTTTATTCTGTGATAAAAATGGAAAAAGTGTTTGTAGTATATAAACCAAACATATTCATAAAATTGTCATTAGGAAATATAAATATCAAATATATTATAGATTACAAATTATTGGTTATTGTCCAGCGGGTTTTATTTCTTAACCAATTAAAAGACATAAGAATTTTTTTTTGTCAATTAGACAAATATACATAGACAATTATTATTATTATTATTATTATTACATTTGGCATTTCTGTCCCCCTCACTATCTATCTATCTATCTATCTATCTATCTATCTATCTATCTATCTATCTATCTATCTATCTATCTATCTATCTATCATTGGTTCATCATCTCTGTATGTCTCTCTATATATCTTTCTAGTTGATATTCTCAGAAGGCTTCAGAAGAATCATATGTTTAGGACTGTTGACATGCTCAAATTGTTCAGAGATGAATATTTCTCTGAATCAATCTCTCAGTGATGTATGATAGAATTCTCATTGATGGTCGTGATTTATCATCTGGTCTACATAATGGCTGGCCTCAAGAATGAATGAATAAAACCAGCATCTCTTATCTGAGTGCCTCCCGTGGATAAACCCACCCTCATACACATCTGTGCCACATCCATCCACACACACACACACACACCACTGGGCTTCAGATCAGAGATGAGAGGAGGCCATCGTATCTGTAACACACCAGAACCACTTCAAGCATGTTCACACTCGCTATACTCCCATGAGTCCTTCCCCTGGCCCCATCTCACCCAACCACGCATCGAACACCCACAGCACACTTATCTTCCTCTGGACAGACTAAATGTCAACCCTTACACCATGCAGGAATGTGATTAACTCCATCGTTGCTATTAGCACTAGCTAATTTCGTTCAAGGCTCCCTCCAATGTTTCATCTATCGGTCCTCTCAATTGGCTGGCTTTTCTCGCTTGCGTTGGCTGATGGATGGGAATGGATCCCGCGGCACAAATTTTTGCTGGTAGCATTCATACATGCAGGCACAAGTACAGATAGGTCGTGCACTCACAGGCAAGCAGGCATTTTAGAGCTGTTTAATGTATAGAAGAGCACATTTGGTTGCAGTGTCTGAATTAAATGCATGCTGTTTTCAACTAATTTGAAATGGCTTATATTAGATTAAAATTTTTATTTTTTAAAGGTAAAGTAATTTAATGAATAAAATTTTAATGTGTTTGAAAGACGTCTCTTCTGCTTATCAAGGCTGCATTTATTTATTATTAAAAAAAACATTAATATTGTGAAATATTATTAAAATTTTCTTTAAAATGTAATTTATTCCTGTGATGACAACTGAATTTTCAGCAGCTGTTACTCCAGTGTTCAGGGGTCATATTGTCATTTGATCCTTCAGAAATGTGTATGTATACAGTATATCTATAATACAGAAATCAAATATATGTAGATATATGCTAATAATTTCTTATTATCAATGTTGTAAACAGTTGTGCTGCTTAATAGTTTTTGTGAAAACTGATGTAGGCCTATTATTTTGGTAAATAGATAGTTAGACCGTTAAACTGTTTATTTAATTCAAATAAACAGTTTAACGGTCTAACTTCGTAAATTACTTTAAATGTCGTAAATGTCACTTTTGAGCAATTTAATGCATCCTTGCTGATTAGAAGTATTTAAAAAAATGTATTACATGATCACAGTTAAACATTCCCCTTTTTCCAGCTCATGTAAAATTGTTCAACAGATCAACAGATTTAACAGCAAACATGAAATCATGTCTCCTGCCAAATGAAGTAGCTGATGTCTTGACCTTGAACTAACCCCTTGGCTTTTTGTTTCTTCTCAACAGGTGGTCACCTCCTCTGCCTGGTGTTATGGTTTAACCTGGTGCCAGTGATGAACGGCTGCCCAGCAAAGTGTGTGTGCTACAGCGAGCCGAGGCCAACCGTGGCCTGTCAACAGCAGGGTCTGTTTTCCATTCCCACCGAGATCCCCGTCCGAAGCCAGCGAATATTCCTCCAGAGCAACAAACTGACAGTGGTCCGATCGACCAGCTTTAGTTCAGTGCATAACCTCACCGTCTTGTGGATGTACTCGAATAACATCAGCCATATTGAGGCAGGGGCTTTTTACGGGTTGGAAAGACTGGAAGAATTAGACATAGGTGACAACAGCAACCTTCGCATCATCAGTCCCACTGCGTTTCGGGGTCTGACCAAGCTGCATACCCTTCACCTGCACAGGTGCGGGCTGTCCGAGCTCCCGGTGGGAGTTTTCCGAGGACTCTTCTCGCTTCAGTATCTCTACCTGCAGGATAATAACCTTCTGGCGCTGCACGACGACACTTTCCTGGACCTGGCCAACCTCACCTACCTATTCATACATAACAACAAGATCAAGGTTGTGACTGATCACATGCTGCGAGGTCTCATCAACCTTGACCGCTTGCTCCTGCACCAGAACCGCATCATACACGTGCAACAGCAGGCTTTCAATGACCTTGGCAAGCTGACCACCTTGTTTCTCTTTTTCAACAACCTCACGATGTTGACAGGAGAGGCCATGAACCCGCTGGTGTCCCTCCAGTACCTGAGGCTCAATGGAAACCAATGGATTTGTGACTGTCGAGCCAGGCCGCTGTGGGACTGGTTCAAGCGCTTCAAAGGGTCCAGCTCCGAGCTGGAGTGCCACATTCCAACCTCTCTAACCGGAAAGGACCTTAAGCGACTGAAAAGCGATGATTTGGAGGGATGCGTGGACTCCCCGTCAGAGGTTCAAACCAGTATCTTCAACACCAAGGCACGCTCTGGAAAGTTCCTCTCGCTCGACGATCCTCTTGTCGAAAGCATTCCCAGGTGCTGTCTTTCGGATAACGACAAATCCTCCATTATCTCCAGTAAGTCCCTCCCGGATCCTTCATCCTACAACAGCCGGCAGATCACCAACAATCCCCTGAAAGAGAAGGAGAACATCTCCAACCGCGCAGGAGCATCCACAGGCTCCTCTGCCTTCTGTATGTGTACGTGAAAATCTCACACATTGGTCTGATTATGTAAACGTGACGGGTGATGAAACAGTTGGTGAATGGTCACAAAATAGAGCTATTGTCAGTCCATCATCTAGATGAAAACAAAGAAAGACAGACAGACAGGCTTTATTTTGGCAAATGTGTTCATGTAGGCGTTTTCAAGGGCCAGTGTGAATAAATCTAGATTTAAATTAAAAGAGACAAGATAGTCCCATCATTTTGGATACGTATTATTCGTATCCTGCAGTGTGTGTTTCATTCATACTCGAAGCTGGAGAGCGCTCTCGTGCTGAAAGTCCAAAACAGACTCAGAGAAGTAGTAATAACTTTTGTCGTGCCAGGAAATCCTTAATATGGACAAAGGCATCCAGTTATCACTGTAGCTAAGCTGAATAACAAGCATAAACCATAATTGATGAAACATGAAGACAATCAACGATTGCGACAATATATGGTTCATGTGTGTTTTTCAAGTCTTCTCCAGGTAATAAAGTATATGAATGATACAGTGCTTACTGACATGGCATTTATTACATTACAGAAGCTATAAAATATATTTTCTGCTTTATTCTGTGATAAAAATGGAAAAAGTTTTTGTAGTATATAAACCAAACATATTCATAAAATTGTCATTAGGAAATATAAATATCAAATATATTATAGATTACAAATTATTGGTTATTGTCCAGCGGGTTTTATTTCTTAACCAATTAAAAGACATAAGAATTTTTTTTTGTCAATTAGACAAATATACATAGACAATTATTATTATTATTATTATTATTACATTTGGCATTTCTGTCCCCCTCACTATCTATCTATCTATCTATCTATCTATCTATCTATCTATCTATCTATCTATCTATCTATCTATCTATCTATCTATCTATCTATCATTGGTTCATCATCTCTGTATGTCTCTCTATATATCTTTCTAGTTGATATTCTCAGAAGGCTTCAGAAGAATCATATGTTTAGGACTGTTGACATGCTCAAATTGTTCAGAGATGAATATTTCTCTGAATCAATCTCTCAGTGATGTATGATAGAATTCTCATTGATGGTCGTGATTTATCATCTGGTCTACATAATGGCTGGCCTCAAGAATGAATGAATAAAACCAGCATCTCTTATCTGAGTGCCTCCCGTGGATAAACCCACCCTCATACACATCTGTGCCACATCCATCCACACACACACACACACACCACTGGGCTTCAGATCAGAGATGAGAGGAGGCCATCGTATCTGTAACACACCAGAACCACTTCAAGCATGTTCACACTCGCTATACTCCCATGAGTCCTTCCCCTGGCCCCATCTCACCCAACCACGCATCGAACACCCACAGCACACTTATCTTCCTCTGGACAGACTAAATGTCAACCCTTACACCATGCAGGAATGTGATTAACTCCATCGTTGCTATTAGCACTAGCTAATTTCGTTCAAGGCTCCCTCCAATGTTTCATCTATCGGTCCTCTCAATTGGCTGGCTTTTCTCGCTTGCGTTGGCTGATGGATGGGAATGGATCCCGCGGCACAAATTTTTGCTGGTAGCATTCATACATGCAGGCACAAGTACAGATAGGTCGTGCACTCACAGGCAAGCAGGCATTTTAGAGCTGTTTAATGTATAGAAGAGCACATTTGGTTGCAGTGTCTGAATTAAATGCATGCTGTTTTCAACTAATTTGAAATGGCTTATATTAGATTAAAATTTTTATTTTTTAAAGGTAAAGTAATTTAATGAATAAAATTTTAATGTGTTTGAAAGACGTCTCTTCTGCTTATCAAGGCTGCATTTATTTATTATTAAAAAAAACATTAATATTGTGAAATATTATTAAAATTTTCTTTAAAATGTAATTTATTCCTGTGATGACAACTGAATTTTCAGCAGCTGTTACTCCAGTGTTCAGGGGTCATATTGTCATTTGATCCTTCAGAAATGTGTATGTATACAGTATATCTATAATACAGAAATCAAATATATGTAGATATATGCTAATAATTTCTTATTATCAATGTTGTAAACAGTTGTGCTGCTTAATAGTTTTTGTGAAAACTGATGTAGGCCTATTATTTTGGTAAATAGATAGTTAGACCGTTAAACTGTTTATTTAATTCAAATAAACAGTTTAACGGTCTAACTTCGTAAATTACTTTAAATGTCGTAAATGTCACTTTTGAGCAATTTAATGCATCCTTGCTGATTAGAAGTATTTAAAAAAAATGTATTACATGATCACAGTTAAACATTCCCCTTTTTCCAGCTCATGTAAAATTGTTCAACAGATCAACAGATTTAACAGCAAACATGAAATCATGTCTCCTGCCAAATGAAGTAGCTGATGTCTTGACCTTGAACTAACCCCTTGGCTTTTTGTTTCTTCTCAACAGGTGGTCACCTCCTCTGCCTGGTGTTATGGTTTAACCTGGTGCCAGTGATGAACGGCTGCCCAGCAAAGTGTGTGTGCTACAGCGAGCCGAGGCCAACCGTGGCCTGTCAACAGCAGGGTCTGTTTTCCATTCCCACCGAGATCCCCGTCCGAAGCCAGCGAATATTCCTCCAGAGCAACAAACTGACAGTGGTCCGATCGACCAGCTTTAGTTCAGTGCATAACCTCACCGTCTTGTGGATGTACTCGAATAACATCAGCCATATTGAGGCAGGGGCTTTTTACGGGTTGGAAAGACTGGAAGAATTAGACATAGGTGACAACAGCAACCTTCGCATCATCAGTCCCACTGCGTTTCGGGGTCTGACCAAGCTGCATACCCTTCACCTGCACAGGTGCGGGCTGTCCGAGCTCCCGGTGGGAGTTTTCCGAGGACTCTTCTCGCTTCAGTATCTCTACCTGCAGGATAATAACCTTCTGGCGCTGCACGACGACACTTTCCTGGACCTGGCCAACCTCACCTACCTATTCATACATAACAACAAGATCAAGGTTGTGACTGATCACATGCTGCGAGGTCTCATCAACCTTGACCGCTTGCTCCTGCACCAGAACCGCATCATACACGTGCAACAGCAGGCTTTCAATGACCTTGGCAAGCTGACCACCTTGTTTCTCTTTTTCAACAACCTCACGATGTTGACAGGAGAGGCCATGAACCCGCTGGTGTCCCTCCAGTACCTGAGGCTCAATGGAAACCAATGGATTTGTGACTGTCGAGCCAGGCCGCTGTGGGACTGGTTCAAGCGCTTCAAAGGGTCCAGCTCCGAGCTGGAGTGCCACATTCCAACCTCTCTAACCGGAAAGGACCTTAAGCGACTGAAAAGCGATGATTTGGAGGGATGCGTGGACTCCCCGTCAGAGGTTCAAACCAGTATCTTCAACACCAAGGCACGCTCTGGAAAGTTCCTCTCGCTCGACGATCCTCTTGTCGAAAGCATTCCCAGGTGCTGTCTTTCGGATAACGACAAATCCTCCATTATCTCCAGTAAGTCCCTCCCGGATCCATCATCCTACAACAGCCGACAGATCACCAACAATCCCCTGAAAGAGAAGGAGAACATCTCCAAGACCAAGTTTCGGGAGGTGGAGCGAACGAAAAACGACACTTATAATAAGCAGAGTCTCAATGATGGTCCTTTGGGAACCATGTCCAACAACCTCGACCAGACCTTGGACAAAATCAACCCAGATCTGCTGGACAATCTGGAACCTTCTACAGCACCAAACAGAAAGAAAAAAAAGTGCTCCAAAAAGCCCAAATCAGACCAGTATTGTCTAAAGGCTCATGGATCCACCGTTCAAGTATTGGCTGTTCTCTTTCTCCCCTTGTTCTGGTTGTCTCTGGCTTTGTCCTAGTTCATACTCTCGTCCATCAGTTTGCTCTTGACAATGACACAAAATACCTGCAGTAGCCTACGTGGACAGGCAAAAGACGATGAATAGGGGGTTACGATGTTGCCCCGCATGGTTGAGAATAAGTTGTAATGCTAAAGACGAATGAAAATAAATGGATGCCTTTACAGAATACATGAGATCTAATGTATATAAAACTCGGTGCCCAAATGTTTGTTCTATGTACTTTTAATGTGCTGTGTTTAAGCAACACTGCGGAGAGTTCCCTATTCCCACATCACTTCCAAAAAACATTGATCAGAAAGTGACTATTGTAGATGAACCACTAAATAAGAGAGAAAAAAAAAACCTTAAACCATGACTAAAGTACACCAGTGTGCCGAAAGCACCCAGGAATGTTGCCGAGAAGAAACTGAAGGGAAGTGACGTTTTTTTCTCCCCCAATACATTTTTTTTCTTTTAAAAGTGATACATTTGTTCTTTGCTGTTTTTTATGTTTCTAAGTATTTCAGTAAAGACAAACGTTTAACTCTTCCCAAATACGTGCTATGTTCTGTTATGTTCCGTCATGACACACACTGCAGGTGGCATCTTGGGAAGGAATGCTGTCTATTTGTTCACCGAAATTGCGATGGAATTATAGATATGCATTTTATTTTGCTGGTGTACATGCATAAATATATGACAAATAAAATATCTCATTTTTTTACAGTTGGCTTCTCATGTGACTGAAGAACATAGCATAGACTATATTACATGTAATATTATAGGTATATTTCAATCTTTTTAAAACAAATAAAAAAAATATGTATATTCCATTAGGATTGAAACCTCAAAGGCACACATTTCTGTTCATTAATGAACTTTAACACAATCAGTAATGATTCATCCATGTGTGAAGCTCAGAAATTCACAACTTGCAGCTTGCCAAAATCACCAGACATCTTTCATAACCAAATTAATGAATGTGACACTGACTGAATTCGAGACTACTCCTCGTAGTACAGGTTTCTTCCACTTGGCATTTACCATAGGGGACTTTAAAAAAATATTATGATGTTTGAGAAGCATTTGTGTGTGGTGTAAGGAAACGGTGATTAACAGTTACGATAAAATGCATGTCAGTAGCAGTAAAAGCTACATAGGCTATGTTTGACATTGACAATTGCCACTTACAATGCAATTATTGAAAGAACTATATTATTGCAATGACACCACTACACATTTGAAAGATTAACCACTTGTCAATCAGAATTTTATGTAATTAGAAAAAAAACAATGCAGTTCATTAATGTTCTATTAAAAGTTCTAAATTTATAAGACATCATAACTAGAGATTTTTTATTTTTATCACTGTTCAATTTTAACTTTCTCCTACAACTTTATATTTATTTATGCAAACTTACATTCACATTTTACATTTACATTTATGTATTTAGCACACACTTTTATTCAAAGTGACTTACAAAAGAGGAACTAATTAGGAGTAAATAGAGAATCTCATTCTAATTTGTCTTTAAAGAAAAAATATTTTATAATTATACATTATAAATAATTAGTATAAAGGAGGAAATTTTATTTTCTTCTTTAGCATTTTAAATTTAAATGCTAATTTAAAAAATAATGTCAAAATGGTTGTTAATGTGGCCAAATGATATACACAATGCATCCACTCAGACATTTTACATTTTAAATTCAGGCCTAAAATATTGACATTTAAAGGATGCTACAGTGTTTTCTCAACTTCAACACCATAGGAACCCCATGTTCTCATATTCCATAATTACTCTAACACAACGGAAATGTACACCAGAGAACGATTACTTGATTATATATATATATATATATAGCTTAGATTGTTGGTACTTTATCATTATAAAACCTGCGAAAATAAAACATTTGTTATAGTGGCCTCCTTAACAGGATATCACAACAGTCTTACATATTTATTCAACTAAAATAGAATCATTGCACTATTTATTCCCAATTTAGACTGGAAATGTGATATGATTGAACAACCTCTAATCTGTAGTGTAGACTATCAAACTGTAGGAATCCATGTTCTGTCCTCTCCCATAAACAGATGGTGGCCCATGCTGGGATTGTTTGCGGATGATGACCCATTGCTTTGTCAAATCTGGCCTGCACTCAAGTCCTCGTCCACTGCCTTCAACTACTCGTGCACTGCAGGAGTCTGGCATAAGAGAGCGAAGCACATTTCAGTAGGGAGAGGTTTAGCCAGCAGTCTTATGTTATACTAAACACAGTCCTGTCAGCTCCCCGTCTACACTGCTAGTGACACGATAAAACTAGAACACGCACATTATAATCAGGGAAGCCGTCTATAGCACGCACAATAAGCGTGCAATGATGAACAAGCTTTGTTGGTTATAATGAGAGTGTTCTTGGATTGCTGTGCTACACACTTGCAATGTAGATGGCGTGTAATTATGAGAACAAACACCTGGGCCCGTATTTACAAAACATTTTATCTTACCACTAAGAGTTCTCCTAAATAGCAGTAAAAGTTTAGCTAAGAGTTTTCTCTTACAACCTATTCACAAAGCTGCTGAGACAAACTTTTACTAAGGAATAGACAGGAGTTTTAAACAGTTAGTTCACCCAAAAATGAAAATTAGGCTGTGTTTTACTCACCCCAGAGGCATCCTAGGTGTATATGACTTTCTTCTTTCAGACGAATCCAGTTGGAGTTATATAAAAAATTGTCCTGGCTATTCCAAGCTCTATCATTGCAGTCAGCAGGAAAGTGAAATAAAAAGCCCATCCATAAAAAAAAAAGTGTCTCACACGGCTCCGGGGGGTGAAAAAGGCCCCCTGTAGTGAATCGATTATTTTTTGTAATAAAAATATCCATATTCAAAACGTAATAATCACTTTAATCACCTCATACGTCATCCGCCCGGAACTGCTTCCGTGTACAACTGTTGGCGCAAGCTAGATTAAAGTGATGATTACGTTTTGAATATGGATATTTTTCTTACAAAAACGCATCGATTTGCTACAGGAGGCCTTTGTTCACCCCCCGGAGCCGTGTGAGACACTTTTTTTAATGGATGGGCGCTTTTTATTTAACTTCTTTGGGACTGAAGCACTGCAACACCCGCTGACTGCAATGATAGAGCTTGGAATAGCCAGGACAATTTTTTATATAACTCCTTTTTGGGTGAATTAACCCTTTAAGCTAAGAGTAAGGGCGGGGTTGACCTTGTTGCTATGGATGACGTCAGCATACTTACTGACTATGCACACAGTGATTGGCTGATGATCTCTGTTAGAGATTTATTTATAGGAATATTGTAGAGCACAATATTATGATGCCATATTCAAATAAAGGTTTTAAAATAAAAATGTCAATTGCCACATTCAAATAAAGATCTTAAAATGCCTAAAAGATCTAAGTGTCACTAATTAAACAAGTAGGCTATATATTCAGCTAATTGTCAGCCTGTTATATGTATGCTTCTCATAAACAATTAGTCAATATGCATTAGAGCTGCCATGCCCTCGACTAAAGATTTTTCTGGTCGACTAGTAGTTGTTCATTTTAAGCATTAGTCGACTATTAGTCGCACTTTTATTAATAAACCATACAAATCATAATAGTGAGCCTTTAATGAAAGTGAAACAAGTGACGTGACATGTGGCCAAGTATGGTGGAGCTTGGAATAGCCAGGACAATTTTTTATATAACTCCTTTTTGGGTGAATTAACCCTTTAAGCTAAGAGTAAGGGCGGGGTTGACCTTGTTGCTATGGATGACGTCAGCATACTTACTGACTATGCACACAGTGATTGGCTGATGATCTCTGTTAGAGATTTATTTATAGGAATATTGTAGAGCACAATATTATGATGCCATATTCAAATAAAGGTTTTAAAATAAAAATGTCAATTGCCACATTCAAATAAAGATCTTAAAATGCCTAAAAGATCTAAGTGTCACTAATTAAACAAGTAGGCTATATATTCAGCTAATTGTCAGCCTGTTATATGTATGCTTCTCATAAACAATTAGTCAATATGCATTAGAGCTGCCATGCCCTCGACTAAAGATTTTTCTGGTCGACTAGTAGTTGTTCATTTTAAGCATTAGTCGACTATTAGTCGCACTTTTATTAATAAACCATACAAATCATAATAGTGAGCCTTTAATGAAAGTGAAACAAGTGACGTGACATGTGGCCAAGTATGGTGTCTCATACTCTGAATTAGTGCTCTGCATTTAACCCATCCAAAGTGCACACACACAGCAGTGAACACACACCCGGAGAAGTGGGCAGCCATTTTTTTTCCTGCAGCGCCCGGGGAGTAGTTGGGGGTTCGGTGCCTTGCTCAAGGGCACCTCAGTCATGGTATTGAAGGTGGGAGAGAGCACTGTACATTCACTCCCCCCAACAATCCCTGCCGATACGAGACTCGAACCTGCAACCTTTGGGTTACGAGTTCATCTCTCTAACCATTAGGCCACGACTTCCCAGACTACATTACATAGCCTAATAAGCACTCAAGCGCACACAAAAAGGGCTTGCCACAGTGCACCGGCAATTATAATAATTATGAATGTGTTAGGGAAAAACAGCAAGTACACTGCATTAACGTTTTAATAATTTATTGTTAAACTAGTGCTTTCTGTTTTCGGTTTAAGAGATGAAGTCGGCGACACTGACTCGTCATCTCTGCAGTATGTGCCTGCATCCGGGGAGCAGTTGGGGGTTCGGTGCCTTGCTCAAGGGCCCCTCAGTCATGGTATTGAAGGGGGGAGAGAGCACTGTACATTCCCCCCCCCCAACAACCCCTGCCGATACGAGACTCGAACCTGCAACCTTTGGGTTACGAGTTCATCTCTCTAACCATTAGGCCACGACTTCCCAGACTACATTACATAGCCTAATAAGCACTCAAGCGCACACAAAAAGGGCTTGCCACAGTGCACCGGCAATTATAATAATTATGAATGTGTTAGGGAAAAACAGCAAGTACACTGCATTAACGTTTTAATAATTTATTGTTAAACTAGTGCTTTCTGTTTTCGGTTTAAGAGATGAAGTCGGCGACACTGACTCGTCATCTCTGCAGTATGTGCCTGCATGCATGTTTCATACAGATGACAATCTGAGAATATTTGTTTTCTATTTGAATTTTTTTCATTTAAAAGTTTCACTCTCTATAGATATATTTTTCATGTCTGTAATAAGGCAAGCATTCACGGAGTTTTGAAGTGACCCGCTCAAGTTCACAGAGTCCGAGACGGCAGAAAGTGCATCCTGTTTGCCTTCATTATTTTACAAAAGTGCAACGTTTCATTGTTATTCTGAGTTCAGAATAACACACGAATAAACGTAGAGTCTTTACAGATACAAAAGATGGATTACTCTTGTCTGTATGACCAAAAATGACGAAGTATTTTAAGAGCAAATGATCGCAGCGGCGCCTCCATCTGTCATGCAGTAGCCCAATCGCGCTACTGTTCAGCTTCCACACTCCGCACAAACATGTGAACTGCGCACTTTTTCTAGGCTAACATTAGATTGAGCTGCAATGTAAAGTTGCTACTACATACATTTTTTCAGATGATAAGCCATTTTTGAGGTCGATGAATGTTAGGGGAGCATATGGATGGCCCAATATTACCACATAGACCAGCCGTTAACGATGTGTC